GCTATGGACGAGCGCGGGGGTGCAAAAAAGTCGGACGGGAAGAGAAATTAGTTGTCAGCCGCAGAGCGCCATAGACAGGGGGGGCGAGAGCGACGGTCTGAGGGAGGGAACGAGAGGTCGGTAACGGGAACGGAAAGAGGAGGAAGGGCGAGGGTTCGAATCGTGAGAGGACGAGGTGGTCGAGACGATGAAGGAGAGCGGCTCAAAAGCCCCGGGCTTCTCGCGTGATTTATGCGAGATTCCAGCGATGCTACGCGTAAAAAAGAAAACAGCCCCTCGCTGTGTGCCAGCCCCCTCGAGCCCCGCGACCCCCGTGCCCCTCCCGGCTCTCCCTCCTCCGCTCGTCGCGAGTCGTCTGGAAATGGAAATGGCCGGGACGCATCGTTCCGTTGCTGGAGATCTCCCGCTTTCAGGAGCATTTTCCGTGGGACAGGAAAAAGAACGGCCAGGAAGAACTGGCCCCGGCCGGGCTCGCGCTTCCCGAAGTGATTTGTCGAGACACGGTAATTAATGTTAATAGAAGAAATGCTGGAATGGTTGAATGTAGATTGGAACGCGAAGCGTGAAATTTAAATTTTTTTGCGATATATATACATAGTGGACGGTTTCTTGCCATGAAACATGAGGTGGGACAATCGCGCGTAAAGCGTTTCTCTCTTTGATACTCTACCTCCCTTTTAAAGATGCACATATACATTTTTTATTTCGTCATATAAACGATTCTCATATATTTAATTTCTAACTTTTGCTACCACGGATATTTTTTTAGTCGTGTATTTTAGAGTTATTTTTTATTATAATGCAGTTTCTATTATATGCCTTTTATATTTGAATCTTATTAATTTATTAATATCGATTATATGCGTATATATGCGTATCAATTATGAATCAATTGTACTAGAAATTAATTTGATTTAATTAAACCATGCACACAACCGAAATTCGATGCAGGTCGAACAGTGCCGAATAAAACATTTGTTTGCCGCGTTACGTGGCCTTCGACGGGCGAGATTTGCTTATGGAATCGCATTCATGACGTTCCATAATCCTCGACCCAACGATTATGCTCGCGATTAATTTCTGTCATATCGATTCCGGGTGTACAAAATACATTCGCGCACCTACCTACTTATTACGAGAAGGCTGCCGATCGTTATAAAATCATGTCTACATTCCCGAGATTGCGCGATCGAGCACGAACGCTGCTTAAGATCGCGCGGGGTATTAACCAGTCGCGAACGATCTGCGATCGCGGTGATCATGATGTTGACCCGCGTGACCGATCGATCGATTAATTAATTACGGAGCGATTTGCGTAGTCGGTATTCAATCCAACGGTTAATAAGCGTTTCCGGGCGACGCGACATGCAGGTATTTTCGAGATCCAGTATCGCTAGAATTCCATCATCGTTAGAACCATCCGGCGCAGCGACATCTCGACATCACCCGTCGATTTCGCCCGCATTTTAATTATACTTTGCAGACCACGAATTTCACATGCGTTTTTTTTTTTCACGATACAGTTCTCCTCGCACGGCAGTCGTCGATAACGCTATATAATTCGTTGAATCGCGCGCGAGATCGGTATCGTATCGCGTTTAAATTTCAATCAATTTATCTCTCCCGGCAATTACCGACCAGTGAGATGATATCTCGCGCCAGTGGGTCCACCAGATTAGCCGGATATTGTATTATATTGATCGCGAGACGCGCCGATAAGTGCAACGCGACGGTACAAATTCGTGGCGACGCGTTAACGTGCATGCGACTAATGCATAATAAGGAATATAACGGGAGATAATCGCATTAACAAGCAGGCAAGATTATCTACGCGCATGCATTACAACACATCGCGTTGCTCGCAGCGGTAACGTCGAGTCGCGCGAAAGGAAGGGGTGCGTCGCACCCCATCCGCGCGATAACTTTTACACCCCGTACTTTCGCGGCAAGATCGCGTATGAATCGCAGCGGGTCACGGTGCAATTTACCGCTAGATTCGACGCCGCGATTCGTACACAATCGCGCGATTTAATTGCGCCCGCTCGGGATATTTTTACGCGACAACCGCACGTGTTTCGGGAGCTCCCTCCCCTCCCCCGATTAAATCCGTCCGCCATCACCACCGCATGCAACGCGCAAGCAACGACAACGCATGCGAGGCACCAGAGGTTAGAGAGACAGAGACATGATTTTTCAATTTTCCGTCCACGAAATAGATGTGGGAAAGTGCACTACTCCGCATTGTTTCGTGATGGACGAGCTCGTCGTTCCGCGCGAGTAATTCGAAATACTCGTATATAGGTGTCGGTGCATTGAAAGAAACCGAGGGTCAAAGTTGAATCAATTCTAATAAGCGGGATGTGAGGTCTGAACCAAATATCGTATCGTTTCATCATTTTTGTAAAAAGAAAATTGATGCAAAATATTCCAATTTAATTAAAATAATTAAAAGATAAATATATATCTACCATTTTTTTACTTTTACTTTCACCCTAAGTTACCACAAAAATCGTTTTTTTTTTTTTAAGAATGCGTTACATGAAATATGATAAACGCATAACGGAACAGCGTGTAAAACTCCGATAAAGCGATCTCGAGTTCTTTCGCTGTTTTCTTATCGCGGGGATAAAAGAAATATGAAGATCCGTGAAACGGCGAGCTTGTCGTTCGAAAGAGCCGCGACGAGTCGTGAACGCGCGCAACGCGTTGGATACTTATATTTAATCGGAAAGAAAATCTCTCTCTTACGAGACGAGCAACAACGTCTCTTGGTGCGACTTTACGAGCGTGTAGGCGATCCGGCATGGGTTTCCGGGTTACGCGCGTCACGATTGGACTGGCTCTTCCGCTCTCTCTCTCGAAACGGTGCAACGAACTCTCCATGAAGAATCTACCACGAGTCTCGCCATCGAGCGCGTGCGAGCGCACGTGAAAAATTGCATCCCGTCGATTCATGACGCGAAAAAAAAAGTCTGTTACTCCATAGTATACGAAACATCATTCCGCGTGTAATCGCATTACGAATAAAAGTCCGAAAATTCGAAACAGATTAATCTCAATTGACAGATTATGCGTCACGAATATCTGTAAAGCCAGATGTCAATGATCTTTAATTAATAATTTTTATCGCAAGTTTACGCCCCAATAAACTTTTGGTGTTGTCCAAATATTGGCATTTCATAAATGAATGTATATTTTTCAGCAGCTTTTAATTTGTTCCTTCATTACGTCTACGAATCAATGTATCGCTCATTTTCATCGCGCGTTCGCACCGATGGCACCACATGTACACATGTATATCGCGATTGTATGTTATGTTATCACATGAGATGCGTATGAATGAAGATAGTCTTTTGCATTCGGATGATTCGGAATTAATTTGTAGTTGATATTGATTGAATGATCGGATGACGTCATTAATTGATCGTGCATAATGTGCTCTGCCCTCTCCAGTCCGGATGAGATACATTTGTGACAATGTAAATACGTTACTTTTACTCTACTGGAGCGAGATAACTTGCGGCAGTGCTCGCTCGCTCGCATGAACGAGAAGGCGTGTCCCGTTCGCCATTATCGATCCCATCAATTTAAATCAAACAAGATACAGAATGATAAACGGAAAGATGTATAAGCGCGTAAAGCCAACAAATCATCGAAAATATACGGCCAATTTAAAATCTCTCAACAATAACGTTGCAGTAACATTTCAAAAACGTGTGCCCTCCGTTGCGCTCTGCCTCGCTGGTTCAAGCTCTGGTATAAGCTTACTAGCAGAACCATATGTAACATTCACTGTCAAGTAATTTTGTGCGAATATTGGAAAAAATCCTGAGAGCATTCCAACACCATTGACACTACCTAGCTCGGCTCAACGAAAATCACTATATTCCGTAAATACTCGATTAATATGTAAATGTATCTTTGGTTAGATATTTCATTAAAACGTTATATCGTAAAATTATATTGTAAAATTTATATTGATTATTACCCATCAAAATGAAAGATAACGATTTTAGATTAAACGTAATATAAAAAATTCTAAAAATATAATAATTTTTTTATTTCAATCCGAATTTTTTTTTTATTTCAATCGATTCGACTAGTATATTTTGTAATAAATTATCTAGATTGTAGGAAAATTTTAGATTCTTGAGATTTTATATTAAAATATATTATTCGGGACGTTAACGTAATTAAGAAAACTTTTCGAGAGAAGAATAATTGCAATTCTCTATTAATTTTATATCGATATTTTGAAAATGACATTTTAATTGACAGAAATGGAAAAGAGAGAAAAGTTAGCTTGCAGAATTCATGGAAAACAGTTATTTATTCGAGCACACGACAAGTCGAGTCATGCCCGTGTTCTCTTTCTCTCTCTCTTTCTCTTTTTCCCATATTGCCTCTTCACGCCCCAGTTCACGATTATGCAACGTTAAATCGGGGAATTAAAAAAGAAGTCTCGGAAGTGCAAATTTCTTTCCACGGGAGTGAACGCGCGCCGGGTGAACTGCGATAATTTCCAGTGGATTTCCATCCGAAGAAATTTAAGATATCTCGCAGAGTGTGTCTCTCGATTAAGCGTCGATTGAAACGTCGATTTTTTCCATTACTCTCTCTCGTGATGATTATTATACTTATATTCCATTACTCACACGCTGCTACTCTTCATTATTTTGTACCTTGCTGTATCAGTATTAATTATCCGAAATTATAACGCGCTATTGCTATAATTCGACGAGCGTTAAGAGGGTGTTAATGGCGTTGGAAGGCGCGCTTGCGATTTTATATGCATCAATTGCCCGGAAGAAGCCAAGTGAAAGGAGACTGTTCGCTCGATATAATGCTGAGCAATTCTCTTCGAACGCCGCTTAAAATCGAGTCGCGATGGTATACTAGCAGCTTGCTTGATACCAGAAGCGTGGCGCACTCGAAGAGTGCCCCCGTCTTTTTTAACTCACGGATATAGAGAGCAGAGGCGATATCGTCCGATATCGTACCGTGTCGCCTACCTTCTTCTCCCATTGGAGAACGTAGGGCACTGGGTGCTCACCGGGGAACTCTACGTGACAGTTGAAGACAACGCTCTCCCCGAGGATAGCCGTGATGTGCACCGCGTCCTGTTGGCAGAGTCCTGGAACAAAGATCATTATCTCGTTAGTAATATAATAATGAATATTTCGAAATTGAATAAACAGGAATCTTAAGGGAGGGAAATGAAAGATTACTTCCCATCTGTACAAGTTTCTTTATTATAATATTATTGTCATTAATAATGCGATTATTTTTCAATTGAATGATAAGCGACCGGATGTCAGCTGTTGTCGAGTCATGCTGTAAAAATGACAGCTGACAAACGAAGTGAAACCCTCGTTTCGAGTTTCGAGTTTGCCATTCAAAATTTTCCGCACTTTCATCTCGCGTTCGCGAAAGAGGCACGGAAGCTCACGATTTTTGCCACGGAAAGAAAACTGCGCGAGATTCCGACAGGGAAGACATTAAAAGCCATTAAAGGTAAATCAGGGGCAATGGCTGTCGTCGTTCTCTTTTCCGCGAGTCTGGGAAATCCGATGCCACACGCGAATAATGTCGTCGAGGTCGCGTAAGATTAACTTCGCATTAACCTCCATGCGGTGTCCTAAGATCGAGTGCGACCTCGATTTCGTATGCTCGAGATAACACCGGCCAGAAAAATTCCTTTCGCGTGTCGCGCGTGATAACGTGATGTTCCGCTCGCGAAATTTTTCCAGCGCGACGTTAACGGACAGTTAGCATATCTCGATACTGCTTCTTGCTGGTCTCCCTGTTTACGAATGGCAACGAGGAGACATCGTTATAAATTATATATCGGGAAATGTCGGGACCGGTGAGAAAAAAAGTAGCCGGAACATCGTGACGCGGTGAAACGACGATGGTAAACACGTCGGAGAGAAGGATAATGCAAGCCTGAGAAAGAAACTTCTTCGGGATAATTAATGTTCTTAGAGCAAAAGAGGAACACGATGAATTAAAGGGCACTACTATCGAAGATAAATTGATATTCGACATTCAAAGCGCTCTTTCTCTCTTTTGACTCTTAATACGGAAATTGTCTGTATATTTTAAGATTAAATACGTGGAGACTTTAAACGCAAATGTTATTTAGACGTATGTACATCAAAGGAAGCACTAATTGAAAAAATATATGCGTGGTATCCTTTAATTTAATTCAACAATACTTGCATCAAAAACTAATTACGTTAAAACTAATATATATATGAATCGTCAAGCTTAAGTGTCTGTTATAAAATACTTACAATACATTGTTTCGTTTTTACGCACTATTTATTTTGCACTTTGTAATGATATTCGTTTCATTTACTGATGATTTCATTAGTCAAAGATTGATAATTACTACTATTAAACGAAACTCCGAGCCTTCTCGTGTCACAATCCCAACTATTTAGCGGTCTTCTATAAATAAGATATCGTAAATAAATACTATTTACATTTGGGTTCGTTCAGTATATTTACAAAAAAAATCGTGATACGAAATCAAATAAGGAGCAAAAGAAGGCTAAACAAGAAACAAAGATTGTCGACGACGTTTTGATCCTGTTCTGGGTTCTTTTCAAAGTCAAATAGAAAAAACATAATATTATTAAAACACAACTTAACTGAATAAAGAAAGAAGTTATATTATGTTTTCCTATTTGACTTTGGAAAGAACCTAGAGCAGGATCGAAACATCGTCGACAGTACATTTGAAACATATATTTTTGCGTTCTTATTGCATGTAAGATAAATAACTTTATAAATTTCTATCATAATATTTTATTAGTATCATGCACCTGCGGCTTTGGATCCTTCTTTTGCTTCTTATTTAAAAAAGATCCTGTTTTATTTTGAGAATAAATTTACTTTATTTAGCAAACTTTTCGACGAGATATGTTATAAATACTTATAGCATGGATACTTTTGCCTAATAACTTATATTTTTTGATCCCGATATAATTATATCTTTCCAAAAGAATCAAACAAAAAATTAATTTACTTTTATCTTATAAGAGACTTATTTTCAAATAATCCCGAGGGAGAAAAATAAGCGGAATAAGAAATGCGAATAGAGTTTGTCAGATGCCTAAAACACACACAGAAGGAAGTCTATTGTGGCGAGAACGAAAAAATCCACAAATACTTAAAATAATTCATAGAAGTATATATGTCAGCGCAGTTTCTCTATGTGTGTGCTATTCGCGCAAAGTAATCGCAAAGTTTTGTGTCGTAAGAAGCTCTATCGATCGAAGGAACACAAATCGGGAATGACAGCCGATCTACTTTGCGTTCGGAGAAAAGTTCGCGACTAGGAAATATCGATTTGACTGCTGACAAGCAAAGTTGGGACGAATCTGTCGTGGCCCTTCCATTTTCGTTTTATCCTGGCCTTTCGTTGCTGCGTCACGATCGTCGCGATTAACGTTTCACTGCGGTAAACAGCTGCCGCATTTTCATGGACTTTTTACTACTTTGCAAACTACTGTTCTCCTCGAGTTCTTAATGCAGTAGTGCCATTACGATCTAAATTTTGTCACGAAACGACTGTTACTTTTGATTGATGTGTATCCTGCAATTATGCAAGACTTCAAAATTCGGCATAAAATATATTACTAATTTTTTTTTTACAACAAAATTAATATAAATACTTCAAATGCTCCAAAATGTCAGCAATAATTAGATAATAAGATAAATTATTATATTAATTAACATACGCGAGCTATTTAAAAATTTTTATGATTTTTTTATACAATAACATGGTTCGCCAAAGTGCGATTTCTCATTGCACACAGTTTCCCAACTATACAAGGGGGAGTTTCATCTTTGCGTAGATTATGCATCTGTACAAGCGACGTCGCTTAATGCCTAGCTAACTTTAGAAACAGTCAAACCTCGCGTCAAAGCGTTTTGCTGTAATGTCGGTAGCTTGGAAAAAATTGACGAACGAAACCGCAGAAAATCGCTAACATCAAGGGGGAGAGAAACGCGCGAAAGGCGGCAGCGGTTCTGAAACACAATGACATCCATTTCGAATAATGGACGCGACTTTGATAGCTGTCCCCTTTGAGATCCCCCAATGTTGTAAATACGACACATTTTTGGCATTCGTATGCGCATACGACAAAGGGGACCGTAATAAATCTCTCCTCTTCGCGCAAACCTCCGAAACGTGTTTCACAACGACAAATCTACGGCGCCAGATGAGTTCTAAATCGGAGATATTTTCATCCGAAAAAAGTACGAGGGGATTTTAGGGTAAAATTGGGTTACGTTAAATGCGTCATCTCGTTTGACGTGTGTCAATATTTATCGCGATACATATTTATTATATTAAAATCATTGTACTGTAATATTTTTTGCCACTTTATATAATAGTTACAGAATCTAGGACACAAAAAAATTATAGCAAGTTAAACAAATTCAACAAATCGGTGAAAATTTTAATTAATTTTATTTAACATGAAATATATTTTTTAAATTTTGAATATAAAGCAGAACATTTACATCTCCGAATAATTATGTCACATTAATATGCTGAAATTAAATATATTTCTTTGATAAACGATTTCTCGCGATGCGCATTTATATTTATATAGATGCATATAGACGTATTACTTCGAAGCCATATATGTATACCCATTGTGTAATATCATAGAAGTTCTCTTCCGGTGAACCATCGAAAGTTCGACACTTCGCCGCAGGCATTTTTCTCGATAAAAAATGTGCGCATCGCGACTTGGTAACATTCGACGCCATGAAGGAGAAAAGCCACGCTAACTCGTACATCATGTTCGACATTTCTGATCGTTTAAATGTAATAAATCGAAATAACGAGGGCGATACTCCAACAACTTCTCGAGGATCGAAAATTGCTTCGGACCGTTCAAGCGATACATGATCTCTCGAGATTCTTCTTTCAACTAACATCTTGATTCCGATCCCGTAACCTCGTCGCGAATTGTCCCTCTCGCGTTCCTAATTTAATCTGAAATTCAATTTTTTTCTCTCGCATTACGTTCGTCGCAATATCCGAACATGATCGACGCGTCGCACACACATGGGGCGGTATGTTATTAACGTAACGGGGACAGAGCCGTGACGATATTATTGATATCGTAGGACGAAACCGGCATAACGCTCTCCGCTCGTGCAACACACAACCCGTTTTAGTCCGCCCTCTCGGTGTATGCGACGCGAATAATAATTCCAACTTGAACGCGCAACCGACGCTGCATTTGTACGTCCATTATCGCCATTGCCGGCACCCTCCTGGGATACCGCTGCAACCAAATAACCGTTTTTATTGTTACTTGTTATTAAATTTTCAACGGTCTGTCTGCAGCGTGCGGGCGCGTGTACGCGACGGGGACACCTCGTTATCTCCGGAAAGCGAGCTCATGAAATAAAGCCACCCCGCATTTCGTCTGTACCTATTCGTATGTGTGCGCCGCGGTAATTATAATTATCGTTATGTGCGCGATGTGCGCTAATTTGTCCGTTGAATGAACCAACTGCCTGGAAAGATACTTATATACCGTGAAATCCAACATTTAACATCATCTTCATACATAAAAACGGATATTAAAATATCGCAATTATTAAAACGGTCTCATGCAGATCGGAGTTATTTGTTCAAGATTCATATAACATGTGCCACGAGAGATCAGCGAAATGATACACGCGAATTTATGTCGTGGTCGCGTCTCTTGATAATGTAAGATTGCCTCATTTCTAATTGAGATGATCGACGTTCTTACAATTTTCGCAGCAACGACGGTTTGTAGGATCCATCGATCACGCGTGATAAATCTTGCTGCGCTCTAATAATTGATACACGCGTTACGAATTATTTGTTTTTCAACCTTATAGTCGAGTGAAACTAGGTTGAGTCGTATTACCCGATCATCGAAAATCTGAAGAAGGTGCGAGCAACCGGCGCGGAAATTCTCTTTATGCGCGGAAAAGACTTTTCCGTTTCACAGCCCGTTAAACTCGGCAAGAGAGAGGGAAAGGGGAGAGGGATGAGAGTTAGACAGACAGAATCACTTCCACGTCGTTTTGGCAAACCGCCTTTTACTTCGCGGTTGTTTTTCGCGACGAGATAAACAGATTGAGCAATTCATTTGAATGTTTCGTGGGGAATATATGCAGCTAGGTGTATGGATAAAACGCGAAAAATTTCGCTTATCTCCACTCGTTGCAAAAACGAAATATTTTATTTCCGTCGTTCTTGTCGTGTTTTGAAATAAAATATTTCATTCCTATTTTCGCAAGCTAAAATAAATATTGAATTAAAACCGTTTTCCCATTTGTTTTCTTTCAGTGGGAATCTTATAATCAAAATTTTATACGTATAAACTTTTAATTACTCATTTAATAAGGCTCCATATGCTCTGTTTCTCTTTAATTTAATTTTATACATAATTTATTTAAAACTCTGAAATATTTTTTTAGAGGATATTGTGAAATTTGTTGCATTTTCGAGTACACTATTACAATTCGCGTTCGTATACACGAGAGTATTAAAACAAGCTCAGGAAATAGCTTCTCATCTTTACCAACGAATTTTCAAATACCACCGAAGCGTGAAATTAGCAAGCCGTTCCATCAGCTTGCCATGCTTCGTGTAAGCTAAATAGCCAGATATGTGTTGAGACGGCATCGCACGCGAGGAACCCAATTGGATGAAGCGAAAGGTAGAGCAATTAAGTAGAGCTAACGAGTATCCTATTACCTTAATGAGTTCAGGATTCAAAGATAGGTTTTAATTATTTCGAATAAACGAAATTTCGGTAAATGTAGTTTAGGCCCGACGTGAAACACGAAAATCCTTTTTCGTGAAAACGAACCGTCGCCTCGAGGGTTTCGCCCCATCAATATCGACTTTACCCGGGCTATTTCGAGGTTTGTACGTGCGTTTGCCGCGAGAGCCATGTTTGTTGGAAATAGATGAAACGCGGTAAAAAGAAAAAGAAAAAAAAAAGATCGTATTTATCTTCTTTTAAGTCTTAACGACCGCGGTGTAACTTGCCGACTTAAAGATGATGCATGCAAAAATATGCGCGCTAAAACTTGCGATCGCCGAAGAAAACGTAATCGCTGATGACGATGCAACTCTCCGATATATAACGCCATATGCATCGTTCGCGTAAAAACACGACTGTAGCTGATGCTTCGCAATCAGGGATCCTGAACTCTTCCGACAACAACAAAAAATCATGAAATGTCAACTATCGCGGATCAGATTGTCATCGCCTGTTATCTTGAGATTCGTTCATCGATTGTGCGATGTGTATGCAACTGTATTTATCAAGGGCGACGTCCTCTACGGGTCGGCACGTCACGTCGTTTGCAACTCGTTCACCATCTGCGACGCTTTGATAGCCGTTATGAGGAAGAAATCCATAATCATCCGTCACGTACAGTGCGTGGAATTTATGAAGCCATGCGCGACTCTTGCGCATTGGAAAAGAATTTGTTGCGATTTGACGAAGCTCTTGAAAAAGAGAGTAACTCGTGTTCGCGTGTTTCCTGTTTTTATCGACAATATTTCTATGTTTTGCATTGTGTTATTCTTAAATAATGAAATATATACACGTGCATATATCTCTCCGTACGCCGGAAACTGTGTAACGCTGGAACTCAATTAAACATCGAAACGTTAACGCGATATACATGAGCACGAAAGTGGAATAGAATTTAATTAAGAGAATTCATATATGAAAATGCGTATTCTATTTCCTCCCCGGAGACCATCTGTATTTTTTCGTTTCACATATTTTAAATTATTTACTCTGATATGAGATGCATTATGTACTCTTTTGCGTTTTATTTCACGTAAATATATACTACGATTGCGAGGAAATTAACGAAGCTCATCATGGATAATCGTAGCAGTTTCATAAATTGGAGCATTTGATTGTTACGATTTTGATTAAGAACAGTGCTTCGTGGATACAATACCGTCTCGATATTTATTTTATTTATGATAAATACTTTCAACTACGTCCAGTATTTATATACGTGGAATGCACTTTTTGCCGTCTGCCGTGCAATGTTTCATTCAAAATAAACCGTCGTAAAGTTACACGATGACAAATATTCGACAACGCAAAAACGAAAGAGAAATTATACTCGGAGTAAACAATCATTATGAAGTTGCTACGATTAATTATATTTTCTATTTCCGGAAGAGAGGCGAGGCAATGCGTATTTTAATTGCAGGATAATGCGAGTTTTCATATTACCAACGCATGCGCGTGCCGTTAACGCAGTTGTGCATATATTTTGAATGAAACTTGGCGAGAGAGGCCGGAGTTTTAATGAAATTGTTTGCGCTGAGTAACGAGCATCATAAGGATCCTCGTATAACGTCCATGTAAAAAAAAGGAATCCTTGAAACACAAGCGTGTTGTGCACGTTTTTATTTTTTCTTTCTTTTCTATTTTTTTTTATTCTTCGTCAGTAATCTCGTTGCTACGGCGTGATTAAGGTTCTTGTGGTTTAGAGTGTCACTTCAGTCGGAATAATTGTAAAAACAGAACGTGATACTGAAGTGTAAAACTGCCTGTCCTACGTTGCAATTGAGAGGAACTGTACTCGTTTTATTTAAATCAATTATAATTTTTATATTGCGAGACCGTCGCACAAAATTATAATTACAAAATTATAATTACAAATTATAAGTACAGCGCTTGAATTTACAATGTTCTAATTCTTCTCGAAATTCGAATTTAATTAATGGATCACAAGCGCGTTGCGCATCTCATATAATGCTATAAAATATTGCAGGGAGATTGCAAAAGAGATATATAAATATTATTATTACGTATAACTTTGTGGTGGAAAAACTGATATCGCGCTCATCCATACGTTTCTCGCGCGGCGGATATGACAATGTCCCGCATGTGACAGAAGACCATTTTTCGAATTGTCGAACAGCCGAGCTGCCGCATATCGAAACGAATTCAAAGCATTGATAAAAGTCTCAGTCTCTTTTCACAGCGCGACCATTCACGCCGCTTCGGCTCGTGACGGAAAATTCTTTCAGATTGAAACCCGCGCGCCAAGAGAGAATATTTTGCGATCGCAAAGTTGAAAGAGGCTCACACAATCCACCCTGTCGCGGATAAAAATTATGACAAATTTGACCGCGTAATTATTCGCGCGATGAAAGCGACGTTTTCAGACGTTAATAAAAAGGCGGGGGCATATATCGATTTTACATTTCGAACAGACAGACAGTTTTTATAACGAACGTTTATGCAACGTATTAATTACTTTCATGGTGAAAATACGATTGTAATTAAAACGTACGAATTTCTTTGACAATTATATCTTTCACGAGTTCCGACAATCGCGAGAATCGAGGATATCTCGTCGCCGTTGATTTCGTCTTCTCTGACTTAAGTGCACTTGGCATTCTCGCCCGATACTCCATTATCTGATCGCGCAGGGCCAGCTTATTTCGCTTCATTTGTCGATCTCAGTCGACGTCCCATTACACGCCACAAGCTCTCTATCCCGATGTCCGCCTATGGCTCGGATTTGAGAAGCAACGACCCGTTTCGTGAGATACGGTGCCACGGCATTAGCGACCATTCGGACGTCCCGCCAACTAGTGAACTCTAATTTGCGGTCCCTGCTAATTGAGGAACGAATACGAGATTGCACCGGCGGACAAATGAAGAGATTCCCGGATGCGACAGGATACCGCGTTATCATAGTTTCGAGAATGTAACACAATAATAGGACATAACGACATATTGGCGCAACGAAATTATGAAATAAAAAATACTGGACCTTCAAATCTGATTACATATATATACACGGGTTTGATAAAATACCTGAGTTTCTCAAAGTAATTTTTTTTTCTCGCATTCAGATTAAAACTGCTCCAGAACATTTTCAGAAGGACTAATGTTTTTCTTTTTAATAAAGAATATTTTTCTACGAGAAAATAATGTTTTATAATACTGTAAAGTAATACCTGGGGTGACGAGGAGCGCGATACCAAGGAGTAGAGCTCTCGTCGCCACTTCCACGATCCGTCGAAAGTCCCTGCGACACCACCGTAACCGATGCCTCTTTCCTCCGTCATCTTCGTCCGCTTCATCCTTTCTACTCGTGTGCTCGAAAAGGCCCAGACAAAGCCGCAGCTTCCGGTATACCGAACCAATCTCATTCGTCTCGGGCATGCGTCGCTTCACAGTCTCCTTTTTTTCAACCGCTTCGTTCTCCTGGCGCCTATACGATCGACAGCCTGTGCAGGTGGGCTGACCGGAAGCGAGGATCGCCTCGTGATCAGTCCTCCTAAAAAAATTAATCATTCTTTTACCGTAAGCATAAATTTACCTCATCGCTTATGTAATCTTGTCGATTCGAAAATAATTCAAGCTATTTTTATGAAAATCTATCAATGATTGTTTTTCAAAGTTTCATATATTATCACGTATATTATTTACAGAATATGCGTTATATTAATTTAAAGGCTATTAAAGGGATAGATTCTTATATTAAGATAGATTCTTATAGATATTAATTTCTTATATTAATTGCGTTATATTAATTCTTATAGATTCTTGTATGAATTTAAAGGCTATTAAAGGGATAGATTCTTAAACTTTCAAATCTATTCATTTCACGCATCTTTTGTATCGTACCAAGATAATTGCATAAAAAAGACATGCAAAGCATAGGTTTCATCTTCCCGACGCGACATCTACGATGGTTTACCTGTCCTCGTGGTCGTCACACGCGGCTTTCTCCTCGGTGACATGATAGCCGTGCCTTAGGGACCGAAGACCCTGCGAACAAGTTCCCCCGGTACACTGGAACTCGAGCCGTCGCCGGAGGTCCGTGGCTTGTAGCCCTCCTCCGCCCCCCATACCCCCGTTCCCATAGTACCTGCGGACATAAAGCGGTCGAGGCCTGTTATAACTATAGCACACGCAGTAACAATCGGTCGAGGTGAGCTACGACCGGTAAATGACACGGCGCTCAATATGTCACATAAACCAGAAGTACTGACGGCGAATAAGGAGTCGTAAAGAACATAGCATACATGCCGTGGATCTTGAAATATGACACGAGATGACAAGTAAGGGTTGCGAATTTATTGAATGCATTAGATGTCGCGTTATATATCATTTTTCAAAAATTTGCGTGCTTTTTGTAGGAAAAAAGAGATAATTACATTTTCTTTTTTACATAAAATGTGATTCGATTGAAATTGATTTGCGCGACACATTTATTCAATGTTATCAAGGTTACGTAAAAATGTTCAGCATCCAAGCTTATATTTAAATTAACGGAGAAAAAAGTCGAGTATGTATGAAAACAAGAAAATAGATCAACCCTGATCATTTGACGAAAATGAGGGTAAAACTGGATAATTAATGTTTTAAACAAGATTCACTTATTCATGTTCACTTATTCACCTCCCACTTTGTTTTTATTAATTACAAATCCACTCACCCCTGCCGCTCCGCCACTACTACCGCTGCCCGGATCGTACGCCCTCGGTGCCAATTTTCACAAACCTCGCCACTTCCTCGCCCTTCTCGGCAGCCGCTTCAACCCCCGCAACGTGTCGCTTTCATCACCTGCAACACAAAGGAATAATATTCATCGGCGCATTATTTGGAACAAAGTAAAAAAATTTTTACTTGCTTCCTCTGAGAGTAGAAATATACTAATTGAAGCAAAGAATTTATTGTAATATCAATTGTTGTGCGCTAATCAATTATTATTGTCTTCCGCGATACGCTCGCTTCTTATTTGGGACATGACTTTGTACGAGCTACACATTCGTATCCGTGCACGTATACGTATAGACGAATGAATCCTTTGGTAGATAGTTGAAATTCCATATAGACGAAACATGAATCGATTCGATTAGCAACATACGTGCTCAAATACAAGCCTGATTGATTCAATTTGGGTTCCAACCCCTACGAGCGATCCTTAGACGCTCCGACGATGGACTAATTATATCACGTTCGAAGACCACGTGATCTGGCAGAAACTAAGATGGAATAATTTTAAGCGATCCCGAAAGGGAGAAATTAAATATTTTCAATCCTGGAAGCACATGTGACATGAATTTTATAATATAATCGGATTCAATTTGAAGTCTTTAATGTTTTAGCTCGATGAACGATTGAAAATGCTTTCTTTATCCATGTCTTGAATTAACATTTATCTTTATACGATGTCAATTTTTTTTCGAAATGGATACCGTTATATTCAATAAAGTTATACGACTGCTATTCACATGAATAGATTTTTAATACCGTTTCATCAATTGAAATAATTCGATATAAATACATACAATTCGCCTCTCATTATGAGAGTAATGCGATGGAATTATAAATGAACAGCAATTGCATTTAATATCATAGTGCTTAACTTCCACAAAAAACTGGTCATGATTTAATGCAAATTATATTATGACGTATGCATATACAATACGTGGATTGCGATCACGCGCATGCGAGGGGGAAGATGAACCCGCGGCTTATTTATCGTGTGTCAATAAGCGTGAAGATTTTATCTCATTCGAAGCACGTTCGTGTAATACTAACTCTGACGGGAATTACGGCCATTCTGCGCTAGTAAAATGAGCGTTGTCTGCCAATGAGAGAAAGAGAAAGAGAGAAAGAGAGAGAGAGAGAGAGCAGGTGCGTATTAGATCGAAGCATTGTACTTTCATGCTCGCTGATCACAACGAGTCTGTGTGAAATGAATGAGAGACGCGGCCGATAAAATGAATTGTCCGCAGTTATTAATGGAACAAGTCTTAAAAAATATCGAATTCACAAAAATTTAAATATTCTAGAGATTAAATTCCTTCGAACTATTTTAACCATTAATTAATTGTCTCATCAATTAATCCATTCATAATTGATCAAGTGATAATAATTAATTAAGTTATTTCTTCTTTAATAAATAGCGCAATTTCCACTGCAGAAAAAAAACTATAAAATTAACTTGTGCATTAAATGGATAAATAATGTAGTAGTATTCCACAGTAATCTGTGAGCGAATGCCGCGGTAAAGTTACACGATACCGTAAGCTTACAGCGCTCTTATTTATGATCACCGTCCGCTACTAATGCTGTAGCATCAATCAAGTGTTGTTACTCACTCTGGTGCTAAAGCCAGATGGCAGATTAGACGCTTGCACTTCCCTCAAGAATTCACGTAAGAGCGAATGGAATTTAAATTCTTGCGCGTGCATCATCGCAACTGTCGACTGCAAATGACGTTCTTTTCGTGTCCTACATCTTATACATACAAGTATATTACATCGTAGAATCTGAGAAAGTTCTCATAGGGTGTTTTTCAACAAGTGACACAGAGGACACAGTGTAACACAGTGAATTATTTCATCCTTGTTTACCTTCGACAACCAACAAGGATGAGATGATTTACTGTGTCTTCTGTGTCGTTTGCTGAAAAACGCTCATATATTATTATTTATAATCGGTAATATGTGAGAACTATCGCGTTTTTTTAAATTTAATGTTGTCTGGTAGAAATAAATAGTTAATTACATTTTATAACGATTTATTTGTTTCACGTCAAACGTCGCGAATATTTTTCGCTAGGTAAACATGTAGAATTGAATTTTCGAACATACCATTGGTATTACCTTACTATTCCCGACTTTATAGACGATATTATTCTCAGAGTAAAGTCACGTTTTATTACCTAGCGTCAAACTACCCTAACTCTCGGATAACAGTGGATTCTTCCTTCATGACCGAGGTTGGAGTAGTGAAAACTGTGATTCCGAGTCAGTTTGCAAATTTAATCGTCGGCAATTTGATCGAGGATATAATTACGACGAAATTCTGCTCCCCTTCCTGTTATCATCTTGTAATTAAGGCTGAATTCTTTTTATTTTCTCCACGTTACACATGTGAATGTTGATTCTCCGATTAACGATATATTATATATTTTATCGATTGGACGATAGTATAAAATAGAACAGCTTGCTTGCGAGGGAATATTTATCGCCTTTCTTATAAATATAGATTTAAATAGCTCGGAACGCGATTGCAAAATCGATTCAATAATGTGGAGCAGCGAGTGACCTTTTGACCAGAATGCCTTCTATCGGCAAATTGTTCGTACAGCCAAGTGCTCTCGCAATTGGCACTATTTCCAAAATCGGGAATGTGCGAGCAATGTATAAACGAGACTACATCTAACGCGCTCGTTACCTCGGCTGAAGAGAGGAATGCCGGTGGATCGTACTAGTACTAATAAAAGGTACAGAGCTGTACTGTTTGAACAATGTGCATGTCGTCCACGCAATTTCGTCCCACCAAGGGGCTGCGACACCGGCTGTCATAACTCGTCTTCGTGTTTCCCGATTATTAGCACCGAGCCGATGGGACTGGCTAGTTTCTCTCTCTCTCTCTCTCTCTCTCTCTCTCTCTCTCTTTGCTTTCATTCTCTCTGTCTCATCAGTGTTATCCCTCTTCTACTCATACAGTCTAACTACTCCACGACTCTCTCATATATGATATCTGCCGGACTCGGTTGGGCTATAAATCGAATCGACCGTGAGAAGTTTAGCACTGGACGTGTCGACAGCTAAAATTCCAGCGGGTAAACATAAGAAATCAGCTCGATAAAATCGCATCCGTTTCATCTGTAGAACAAACATTTTTTTTACATCAAGTTCTTCGAGACAGATTGTTTGCGTTTTTGAGCATAAAATTGACTGCCGTTTCTTATTTTCGAAATTACAGACATTTTATCAGAATATCTACGATGAATAATAAGTAGCCCGAAGGTAGCAATCATTCGGTGAGCGAGTTTTTTTTATAACTCTACTTTTATATAACACAATTTGCTTATTCTATCCGATATGCTGTCATTTCGGGACAAAACGAAACAGTCAGCTAATTGGCTTGCGCCAGGAATACACGTCCCATGTGACTTCATTCATTATCGGTGTCGGTCGAACGTAACCGGAAGCGGGGAAAGTATTGGTCCGCATCGTGCGGGCGATGTATCGCGGCGATTTTTCGGCCTTGTTTTGCCCCGTCGTGCGCTTCAACGTCGACATCGTTGCATTTCGCAACGTATGCGATACTGGACATACGTTTCCCGAAGTCGATACAGACCGGACGCGGGTGAATTACTCATACGCGTACGCTAAATTGCCGAAAGTTTTCGCCCAATTTCACTGACGACGCGCGCGAACTTCCGTTGTGCAGCCGGAACAACTATGCATGCGCTCGGAAGTTCGACTATAGATCTTCGTTTGCTTCGCGCATACACATGCATTTACTATCTATGTAACCATGATATATATATATGTAGATATATATATATATATATATGTAGATCCGTGCTTTACATTTAACATATTCCGGGTGCAAAGTTCCGAGCATTCGTATTCGCGCCAAGCTTTGTTCGAATTGTAAATGTCACAGAAATTATATTGATGGGAAATAAAATGATGTGAAGAGATGCAAAGAATTTAATTAATTTACCGGTTATGCGTCCGCGTGTTCATTTGTAACAAAATGTTAATGCATAAAACATCCGCCTCCCTTTCTTTCCCTCTCTTTTTTCCGCATTTAAAATGACGCAAATATTCTCGACCGTGTAAATCGCGTTTGAAAAATTTGTTACGCCGAATATTCACGGCAAATTTCGCCGTGTGGTTGTCAGGCTGAACAATTCGATTTCAACGACAATCCAAATGGATCCGGTCAATTGCGAAGTTCCTACGTTAATGCTTTTTTTTCCTTTCGACAAGCATTTAAATTAAATTAAAATTCACGAAATAAAAATATATCAACTTCGCATCGCGCAGACATCTCTGATTCGTATAACAATTACATTGATTATTATCCACGCTAACTTTTGAAAAGAGAGTTTGTCATATACCATGACAAACGACCAAACTCTTTAAAAAGTTCCTTTACACGGTTGTCCAACTTTTGCGGATTGTCGTCTCTTTTGACAGGAAACATAACTTTCTAAATTGGTTTGGGACAGAAGGGGCCAACTTTGTCATTAACCGTTTTTGCGAGCTTTCTCGCCATTGGCCATTCGCTATTTTCGCGTTACAAAAAATCGCGAGAGATTTCTCTTTCTCTTTTTATAGCTCTATTACCTTGAACAATTTTCATCGATCCTAACTCTTTTGAACAATCAATTGCGATTGACAAATTGATTCGGCACGAAGACATGATTGCCGCATCGAATAATTAATGAAGATACGCGTAACATGGCTAATTTCGCAGATGCTTGATAAATCTATATTGCTTTACATAGCAACAGCATATTCCACAAACTTCTCCAGGATCCCTCTAGGTTCAGCGTGCATATCTGCTGCAGGGCATTTACGAATGATCTTGTATACGCGTATGTATATCTGACACGAGGCCTCGAGGCTTTTCAGGGTATATCACACTACATATATCTATCTGTCGCGGAATCTATTTGAACGTCCTCTTGCGCCAATGATGAGGATGTTAATTATTACCGCCAAGGTTTGCCCGAGACGAAGAAGATCCCCGTCGGCGCTAGAATTTCGGGATGAAAGCGAGGAATCCGAGGTCACTCGCTGGCAATA